TCTGTGTCAGACTAAAGGCCTATAAGATGTTTAGCAACACTGGGGCGTAATAGCCATAGATCTTCTCCAAACAAGGGAATATACATCTTGTGAGAATGACTTCTTCGACAGGGAAATTTACAGCAATGCTACATCACAATTACTTACGTGATATTTACTCGCAATCTGAGTTATGGATCGTCAATTTAAACAGGACAATATAGACGAATTTCACAAAAGGCACGGGGGTCCAACATGCCTATGATATACTCAGAGAACGCACCCACCTGTGCTATCCGCAAATGTTTACCGCTACTCGATAAAATCACTTTTTCATTTCATGTCTCACAGAATATATAATTTGATATGACATTGTTTCTTATTGTATACTTTTGCGTTAGTGAAACAAACTTTAAAGTTTATGTATGGCGTTATCACAGCAAAGGCTGAGCGAATGGAGAAATAACCCTGTTCAGGCACCGTGAGACTATTAAGAAGGTCACATGCAGTGCAATAATATTCCAATTATGTACTGCCACAAAATATTTTACTGTAGATGCGCGAGCTGAACAGACTTAAGAAATTACGAGTTGGTTCGTGTAGCATATTTGGCTGTGCTCCAAGAGAGGCAAAGTGCTATTCTTTTGGGGCAGCTAGGGACACTTGCGAGGACAAAGGGGCAACGCATCGCCCTTTGTTCAACATTGAACCTTTCAATTCCTCGAAACATGCACCTCACAACATTTGCCAACACCACAGACAAGGCGTAACTGATACTGGTAGTAAGAGCGAGTGCAGCTTAATAAGGCGTGTTAGCTTGCGTAATACCGCTTTCTTTGTCAGGCTCTTTGGTGATAGGAATATTGAGGTCATGTGAACGTTGATTTCAAACGTACTAAAATGTGGGAAAGTGAAATTGCATGAGCCAAGTAATTCACATGATGGAAACATATGATCATCTTGCTTGAGTACAGGTAACATGATGGTGTATGAACCGTTCATATACATTCCCCTGAAATCCGGTATGATACATAAATATCTAAGGTGTGTAAACATTTGCAAATTTAAAAATTTACATGTGTTTCCCCACCTAAGTAAATTCACATGTTTCCAACCAGAGTAAACTCGGAAATTTCAGCACCCATTGAAATTCAAAGGAATGCATTGGAAATACTGTAAGATCATGTATTTACCGGGGTATCTGTTTTGCAATTCATATTTGGAAATCCCTGACAATCCGGTCAGGGCATACATGAACGAGGTGCTTGTGCATACGAAAATGTACGATGAGCATATGTTTCAAAGGTATAGATTCATATGAAATATATGCCGGAAGTTAGGAAATATCTGAAAACAGACGTAAATCCGGTCACGGCATGTATTTCCTACTGTATTTACGTTTATTTCAATGGTTTACTATCCGGTTTACTGAAACAGTAACACTTCCACCCAGTCATTACCTTCACACACTGTTACACTTCCATTAAGTGATTACCTTCACATACATGAACATTTCCACCAAGTGATTACCTTCACATACATTATAAACACTTCCACCCAGTGATTACCTTCACAAAGAGAAACACTTCCAACCAGTAAATACCTTCACACACAGAAACACTTCCATTCAGTGATTACCTCCACAGACAGAGACACTTCCACTCAGTGATTACCTTCACACACAGTAACACTTGCACCCAGAGATTGCCTTCACACACAGTAACACTTTCACCCAGTGATTACCTTCAGACAGAAACACTTCATTCAGTGATCACCTTCACATACTGGAAAACTTCCATTCAGTGATTACCTTTACACACAGTAACACTTTCACATAGCGATTACCTCACACAGAAACACTTCCATTCAGTTATTACCTTCACAGACAGAAAAACTTCCACCCAGTGATAACATTCACAAACAGTAACACTTCCTAATAGTGATTACCTTCAGACAGAAACACTTCCATTCAGTGATTACCTTTACAGACAGAAACACTTCCTAATAGTGATTACCTTCAGACAGAAACACTTCCATTCAGTGATTACCTTCACAGACAGAAACACTTCCACTCAGTGATTACCTTCACATACAGGAACACTTCCATTAAGTGATTACCTTCACACACAGGAACACTTCCATCCTGAGATTACCTTCAGACAGAAACACTTCCACTCAGTGATTACCTTCACAAACAGTAACACTTCCACCCAGCGATTACCTTCAGACAGAAACAATTCCATTCAGTGATTACCTTCACAAGACATCAACACTTCCTACCAGTGACTACCTACAGACAGAAACACTTCCATTCAGTGATTACCTTCAGACAGAAACACTTCCATTTAGTTATTACCTTCATAGACACAAACACTTCCACCCAGTGATTACCTTCACAAACAGTAACACTTCCACCCAGTGATTACCTTCACACGCAGGAACACTTCCACCCAGTGATTACCTTCAGACAGAAACACTTCCATCCCGTGAGTACCTTCACACACAGAAACACTTCCACCCAGTCATTACCTTCACACACAGTAACACTTTCACCCAGTGATTACCTTTAGACAGAAACACTTCCATTCAGTGATTACATTCACATACAGGAACACTTCCATCCAGTGATTACTTTCAGACAGAAACACTTCCATTCAGTTATTCCCTTCATAGACAGAAACACTTCCACACAGTGATTACCTTTACAGACAGAAACACTTCCTAATAGTGATTACCTTCAGACAGAAACACTTCCATTCAGTGATTACCTTTACAGACAGAAACACTTCCACACAGTGATTACCTTTACAGACAGAAACACTTCCTAATAGTGATTACCTTCAGACAGAAACACTTCCATTCAGTGATTACCCTCACAGACAGAAACACTTCCACTCAGTGATTACCTTCACATACAGGAACACTTCCATTAAGTGATTACCTTCACACAGAGAAACACTTCCATCCTGAGATTACCTTCAGACAGAAACACTTCCATTCAGTTATTAGCTACATAGACAGAAACACTTCCACTCAGTGATTACCTTCACAAACAGTAACACTTCCACCCAGCGATTACCTTCAGACAGAAACAATTCCATTCAGTGATTACCTTCACAAGACATAAACACTTCCTACCAGTGACTACCTACAGACAGAAACACTTCCATTCAGTGGTTACCTTCAGACAGAAACACTTCCATTTAGTTATTACCTTCATAGACACAAACACTTCCACCCAGTGATTACCTTCACAAACAGTAACACTTCCACCCAGTGATTACCTTCAGACAGAAACTTTTCCATTCAGTGGTTACCTTCACATACAGGAACATTTCCACCAAGTGATTACCTTCACACGCAGGAACACTTCCACCCAGTGATTACCTTCAGACAGAAACACTTCCATCCCGTGAGTACCTTCACACACAGAAACACTTCCACCCAGTCATTACCTTCACACACAGTAACACTTTCACCCAGTGATTACCTTTAGACAGAAACACTTCCATTCAGTGATTACATTCACATACAGGAACACTTCCATTCAGGGATTACTTTCAGACAGAAACACTTCCATTCAGTTATTCCCTTCATAGACAGAAACACTTCCACACAGTGATTACCTTCACAGACAGAAACACTTCCTACTAGTGATTACCTTCAGACAGAAACACTTCCATTCAGTGATTACCTTCACATACAGTAATACTTCCACCCAGTGATTACCTTCAGACAGAAACACTTCCATTCAGTGATTACCTTCAGACAGAAACACTTCCATTCAGTGATTACATTCAGATACAGGAACACTTCCATTCAGTGATTACCTTCACACACAGGAACACTTCCACCCAGTGATTACCTTCACTCACAGTAACACTTCCATCCAGTGATTACTTTCAGACAGAAACACTTCCATTCAGCGATTTCCTTCACAGACAGAAACACTTCCATTCAGTGATTACCTTCACACACAGGAACACTTCCATTCACTGATTGCTTTCACACACAGTAACACTTCCACCCAGTGATTACCTTCAGACAGAAACACTTCCATTCAGTGATTACTTTCACACACAGGAACACTTCCACCCAGTGATTACCTTCACACATAGGAACACTTCCACCCAGTGATTACATTCACACACAGTCACACTTCAACCAAGTGATTACCTTCAGACAGAAACACTTCCATTCAGTGATTACCTTCACATACAGTAACACTTCCACCAAGTGATTACCTTCACATACATTATAAACACATCGACCAAGTGATTACCTTCACACAGAGAAACACTTCCACCCAGTGATTACCTTCACACACAGGAACACTTCCACCCAGTGATTACCTTCACACACAAGAACACTTCCATTCAGGGATTACCCTTACACTCAGGAACACTTCCACCCTGTGATTACCTTCACATACAGGGACACTTCCACCCAGTGATTACCTTCACACAGAGAAACACTTCCATTCAGTGATTACCTTCACACACAGGAACACATCCACCGAGTGATTACCTTTACACACAGGAACACATCCACCCAGTGATTACTGTCACACACAGGAACACTTCTACCCAGTGATTACCGTCACACACAGAGAAACACTTCCATTCAGTGATTACCTTCACACACAGGAACACATCCACCGAGTGATTACCTTTACACACAGGAACACATCCACCCAGTGATTACTGTCACACACAGGAACACATCCACCCAGTGATTACCGTCACACACAGAGAAACACTTCCATTCAGTGAATACCTTCACACACAGGAACACATCCACCCAGTGATTACCGTCACACATAGGAACACATCCACCCAGTGATTACCTTCACACACAGGAACACTTCCTAGCAGTCATTACCTTCAGACAGAAACACTTCCATTCAGTGATTACCTTCAGATACAGGAACACTTCCATTCAGCGATTACCTTCACACACAGGAACATTTCCACCCAGTGATTACCTTCACACACAGAGAAACACTTCCATTCTGTGATTACCTTCACACGCTGAAATATTTCCAGTCCACGATGTTGACTTAGCGGTGTCTGAGTAGACGCAGGTTCGGTTGTCATCGGGAAAAGGTGTGAATCCAGGTCTTGTACACCTGTAAGCCACAACCTTGCCCTGCTCGTAGCTGTCAAATATTTGCTCCGATCCCCCGGGAGTACCTGGATCCGGGCACTTCGTAGCTGGAAACACAACAATGCCCATATTGTCTGTCTATAGGTTCTCAGATGTACTTTTACACCACGCCCATTCCACCATCGTCTTGAAAACAAATGTAGATACTACGACTGCCTTATCATCTGCATATTAAAATCAAACGTCAATCATCATCACTGTACTATATTTACTGCACTTCCAGACATGATACACGCACATGTGGATATTTACCTTTGCAGGTGAGGTTACCAAATCCCCATCGACCATTTTCTCGGCATCTCACAGTGGTGGAGTTTTCAGTCGATACCCCAGATAGTGTCGCCCCTGTACTGCAGCTGAACTCAAAGTACGTCCCAAACGTTGACCCTGTCGTCTCGAGGTCCGGCTTGTTAAGGCCAGCGATGTCCTCCACAGGTCCACAGTCAACAACTGAAACATTAGTAAACATACATTTCATGAGTCCACAAAACTCAAATGTTTACTGACGAATGAATTCTTGCATTGACTTGATCGGGTTTGCCTGTACCCACACTTACCACACGTACTCACGACTTGCGACCACTTGATGTCTTCACGTGACTGTAACTTTCGAACACATGGTACCAACACCGAAACTACAGGGCGGGTCATTAACGTTCTGCTTTCATACTTGGGTGATGTAACTGTATGCAAACATGCAGCATCCTTCCCACAATCATCACAAATGAGCATTGACTACATCATCAGCATGCATTGAAGAATCACTTTCACATACAGTGAAAGTATTAGAAGGGCTTTCTTACAAATTACCGCAAAGCAATTACCATGGCAGTACCAAAAGTAGCACCAAAAGTTTTATCTTAAATAAAATATAAGAAGTGATTAAAGCAATGAAGACAATGAACATCACTGTCATGCTTTATCTCACCTGAACAGATGGGGGAGTCGCCTTGTCAGGTGTATCTCTTGATCTCACTGTCATGCTTTAACTCACTTGGACAGATGGGGGAGTCGCCTTGCCAGGTATATGTCGTTGTCTCACTCTCATGCTTTATCTCACCTGAACAGATGGGGGAGTCGCCTTGTCAGGTATATGGCTTGATCTCACAGCCATACATTATCCCACCAGGACCGATGGGGGAGTCGCCTTGTCAGGTATATGGCTTGATCTCACTGTCATACATTATCCCACACGGACCGATGGGGGAGTCGCCTTGTCAGGTATATGTCTTGATCTCACTGTCATACATTATCCCACCCGGACAGATGGGGGAGTCGCCTTGACAGGTATATCTCTTGATCTCACTGTCATACATTATCCCACACGGACAGATGGGGGAGTCGCCTGCTCAGGTATATGTCTTGATCTCACTGCCATACATTATCCAACCCGGACAGATGGTGGAGTCGCCTTGTCAGGTATATGTCTTGATCTCACTGTCATACATTATCCTACCCGGACAGACGGGGGGGTCGCCTTGTCAGGTATATCTCTTGATCTCACTGTCATACAACATCCCACCCGGACAGATGGGGGAGTCGCCTTGTCAGGTATATGTCTTGATCTCACTGTCATGCTGTAACTCACCGGAACAGATGGGGAAGCCGCCTTGTCAGGTGTATCTCTTGATCTCACTGTCATGCTTTAACTCACCTGGACAGATGGGGGAGTCGACCTGTCAGGTATATGTCGTTGTCTCACTCTCATGCTTTATCTCACCCGAACAGATGGGGGAGTCGCCTTGTCAGGTATATGTCTTGATCTCACTGTCATACATTATCCCACCCGGACAGATGGGGGAGTCGCCTTGTCAGGTATATCTCTTGATCTCACTGTCATACATTATCCCACCCGGACAGATGTGGGAGTCGCCTTGTCAGGTATATGTCTTGATCTCACTGTCATACATTATCCCACCCGGACAGATGTGGGAGTCGCCTTGTCAGGTATATGTCTTGATCACACTGTCATACATTATCCCACCCGGACAGATGGGGGAGTCGCCTGCTCAGGTATATGTCTTGATCTCACTGCCATACATTATCCCACCCGGACAGATGGGGGAGTCGCCTTGTCAGGTATATGTCTTGATCTCACTGTCATACATTATCCCACCCGGACAGATGGGGGGTCGCCTCGTAAGGTACATGTCTTGATCTCACTGTCATACATTATCCCACCCGGACAGATGGGGGAGTCGCCTTGTCAGGTATATGTCTTGATCTCACTGTCATACATTATCCCACCCGGACAGATGGGGGAGTCGCCTTGTCAGGTATATGTCTTGATCTCACTGTCATACATTATCCCACCCGGACAGATGGTGGAGTCGCCTTGTCAGGTATATGTCTTGATCTCACTGCCATACAATATCCCACCCGGACAGATGGGGGAGTCGCCTTGTCAGGTATATGTCTTGATCTCACTGTCATACATTATCCCACCCGGACAGATGGGGGAGTCGCCTTGTCAGGTATATGTCTTGATCTCACTGTCATACATTATCCCACCCGGACAGATGGGGGGTCGCCTCGTAAGGTACATGTCTTGATCTCACTGTCATACATTATCCCACCGGACAGATGGGGAGTCGCCTTGTCAGGTATATGTCTTGATCTCACTGTCATACATTATCCCACCCGGACAGATGGGGGAGTCGCCTTGTCAGGTATATGTCTTGATCTCACTGTCATACATTATCCCACCCGGACAGATGGTGGAGTCGCCTTGTCAGGTATATGTCTTGATCTCACTGCCATACAATATCCCACCCGGACAGATGGGGGAGTCGCCTTGTCAGGTATATGTCTTGATCTCACTGTCATACATTATCCCACCCGGACAGATGGGGGAGTCGCCTTGTCAGGTATATGTCTTGATCACACTGTCATACATTATCCCACCAGGACAGATGGGGGATTCGCCTGCTCAGGTATATGTCTTGATCTCACTGTCATACATTATCCCACCCGGACAGATGGGGGAGTCGCCTTGTCAGGTATATCTCTTGATCTCACTGTCATACAATATCCCACACGGACAGATGGAGGAGTCGCCTTGTCAGGTATATGTCTTGATCTCACTGTCATGCTTTAACTCACCTGAACAGATGGGGGAGTCGCCTTGTCAGCTGTATCTCTTGATCTCACTGTCATACATTATCCCACACGGACAGATGGGGAGTCGCCTTGTCAGGTATATATGTGATCTCACTGTCATACATTATCCACCCGGACAAATGGGGGAGTCGCCTTGTAAGGTATATGTCTTGATCTCACTGTCATAGATTATCCCACCCGGACAGATGGGGGAGTCGCCTTGTCAGGTATATGTCTTGATCACACTGCCATACATTATCCCACCCGGACAGATGAGGGAGTCGCCTTGTAAGGTATATGTCTTGATCTCACTGTCATACATTATCCCACCCAGACAGATGGGGGAGTCGCCTTGTCAGGTATATCTCTTGATCTCACTGTCATTCATTATCCCACACGGACAGATGGGGGAGTCGCCTTGTCAGGTATATCTCTTGATCTCACTGTCATACATTATCCCACCCGGAGAGATGGGGGAGTTGCCTTGTCAGGTATATGTCTTGATCTCACTGCCATACATTATCCCACACGGACAGATGGGGGAGTCGCCTTGTCAGGTATATGTCTTGATCTCACTGTCATACATTATCCCACCCGAACAGATGGGGGAGTCGCCTTGTCAGGTATATCTCTTGATCTCACTGCCATACATTATCCCACCCGGACAGATGGGGGAGTCGCCTTGTCAGGTATATCTCTTGATCTCACTGTCATACATTATCCCACACGGACAGATGGGGGAGTTGCCTTGTCAGGTATATGTCTTGATCTCACTGTCATGCTTTAACTCACCTGAACAGATGGGGGAGTCGCCTTGTCAGGTGTATCTCTTGATCTCACTGTCATACATTATCCCACCCGGACAGATGGGGGAGTCGCCTTGTCAGGTATATGTCTTGATCTCACTGTCATACATTATCCCACCCGGACAAATGGGGGAGTCGCCTTGTAAGGTATATGTCTTGATCTCACTGTCATAGATTATCCCACCCGGACAGATGGGGGAGTCGCCTTGTCAGGTATATGTCTTGATCACACTGCCATATATTATCCCACACGGACAGATGGGGGAGTCGCCTTGTAAGGTATATGTCTTGATCTCACTGTCATACATTATCCCACCCAGACAGATGGGGGAGTCGCCATGTCAGGTATATCTCTTGATCTCACTGTCATTCATTATCCCACCCGGACAGATGGGGGAGTCGCCTTGTCAGGTATATCTCTTGATCTCACTGTCATACATTATCCCACCCGGACAGATGGGGGAGTTGCCTTGTCAGGTATATGTCTTGATCTCACTGCCATACATTATCCCACACGGACAGATGGGGGAGTCGCCTTGTCAGGTATATGTCTTGATCTCACTGTCATACATTATCCCACCCGGACAGATGGGGGAGTCGCCTTGTCAGGTATATCTCTTGATCTCACTGCCATACAATATCCCACCCGGACAGATGGGGGAGTCGCCTGCTCAGGTATATGTCTTGATCTCACTGTCATACATTATCCCACACGGACAGATGGGGGAGTCGCCTTGTCAGGTATATCTCTTGATCTCACCATCATACATTATCCCACCCGGACAAATGGGGGAGTCGCCTTGTCAGGTATATCTCTTGATCTCACTGTCATACATTATCCCACCCGGACAGATGGTGGAGTCGCCTTGTAAGGTATATGTCTTGATCTCACTGTCATACATTATTCCACCCTGACAGATGGGGGAGTCGCCTTGTCAGATATATGTCTTGATCTCACTGTCATACATTATCCCACCCGGACAGATGGGGGAGTCGCCTTGTCAGGTATATCTCTTGATCTCACTGTCATACATTATCCCACCCAGACAGTTGGGGGAGTCGCCTTGTCAGGTATATGTCTTCGTCTTGCTGTCATACATTATCTCACCTGAACAGATGGTGGATTCGCCTTGTCAGGTGTATGTCATTGTCTCACTGTCATGCTATATCTCACCTGGACAGATGGGGGAGTCGCCTTGTAAGGTATATGTCTTCGTCTTGCTGTCATAGGCACAGTAGAGGGTCTTGTTGAAGGTGGAGTTATCCTCCTTCCTGCACTCTATAACCACCTTGCCCTTGAACGGAACAGGAGTTGTCGGGACAATGCGAACCGCCCTCTCCTTCTGGACATCCGTCCCTTGGCTTGTCTGTGCTGAGCAGGTAACAGCTGTAATGATGAAAGGAGAATGACACTGACAATATCAACACGGGCACTGTAACAGCTGTAATGATGAAAGGAGAATGACACTGACAGTATCAACACGGGCAATGTAACTGCTGTAATGATGAAAGGAGAATACCACTGACAATATCAACACGGGCAATGTAACTGCTGTAATGATGAAAGGAGAATGACACTGACAATAGCAACACGGGCAATGTAACTGCTGTGATGATGAAAGGAGAATGACACTGACAATATCAACACGGGCAATGTAACTGCTGTAAGGATGAAAGGAGAATGACACTGACAATATCAACACGGGCAATGTAACTGCTGTAAGGATGAAAGGAGAATGACACTGACAATATCAACACGGGCAATGTAACTGCTGTGATGATGAAAGGAGAATGACACTGACAATATCAACACGGGCAATGTAACTGCTGTGATGATGAAAGGAGAATGACACTGACAATAGCAACACGGGCAATGTAACTGCTGTAATGATGAAAGGAGAATACCACTGACAATATCAACACGGGCAATGTAACTGCTGTGATGATGAAAGGAGAATGACACTGACAATATCAACACGGGCAATGTAACTGCTGTAATGATGAAAGGAGAATGACACTGACAATATCAACACGGGCAATGTAACTGCTGTAATGATGAAAGGAGAATGACACTGACAATAGCAACACGGGCAATGTAACTGCTGTAATGATGAAAGGAGAATGACACTGACAATATCAACACGGGCAATGTAACTGCTGTGATGATGAAAGGAGAATGACACTGACAATATCAACACGGGCAATGTAACTGCTGTGATGATGAAAGGAGAATGACACTGACAATATCAACACGGGCAATGTAACTGCTGTGATGATGAAAGGAGAATGACACTGACAATAGCAACACGGGCAATGTAACTGCTGTGATGATGAAAGGAGAATGACACTGACAATATTAACACGGGCAATGTAACTGCTGTGATGATGAAAGGAGAATGACACTGACAATATCAACACGGGCAATGTAACTGCTGTGATGATGAAAGGAGAATGACACTGACAATATCAACACGGGCAATGTAACTGCTGTAAGGATGAAAGGAGAATGACACTGACAATATCAACACGGGCAATGTAACTGCTGTAATGATGAAAGGAGAATGACACTGACAATATCAACACGGGCAATGTAACTGCTGTGATGATGAAAGGAGAATGACACTGACAATATCAACACGGGCAATGTAACTGCTGTGATGATGAAAGGAGAATGACACTGACAATATCAACACGGGCAATGTAACTGCTGTGATGATGAAAGGAGAATGACACTGACAATAGCAACACGGGCAATGTAACTGCTGTGATGATGAAAGGAGAATGACACTGACAATATCAACACGGGCAATGTAACTGCTGTGATGATGAAAGGAGAATGACACTGACAATATCAACACGGGCAATGTAACTGCTGTGATGATGAAAGGAGAATGACACTGACAATATCAACACGGGCAATGTAACTGCTGTAAGGATAACAACAGTTGGGCATGTACAGTATGTAACACAGAAAACATGAAACAGCTGAATATACAAGTGACAAAATCAGTTGGTGAGATAAACAAGATAGATTGTTCTACGGATTGTAATATAGAGGTTGTATATCCATAGGACTTTATACCTTGTTACTTCAATCATGTATAACATGCTAAGCCCAAATTTGAATACCTAACTGAGATATTTTGGTCAAACATATGGATTTCAATTTCGAACTTTAGGATGCAGTGTTACCGTGCCACCCAGCTGTAACGTCAGCCCACCCACTCACCTGTGCAAGTAGGATCAGATCCAGACCAGGTTCCAGATGGCTGACATGTCCTCGTCTTATCTCCGCTCAAGGAGAACCCCAGCTTGCAGCTGTACATAATCTCATCCTGGTAGAAGAAGGTCTGCTTCTCACTGTGCAGGACGCCATTGGTGACATCACTAGGACGAGGACACGTGTTCCCCTGAAATACGGATGATGTGGAATAAAACGAACGTTGAGAAAATGACGCTAAAAGTAATTCCCAGGCGTGAAGTAATTATTATACGATATTTCTATAGCGCACATATCCACGCAACTAGTGCATGATCAAGGCGCTGGTATGTTTTCCCTCGATCATTGCATGTCAATCTCAACTCCCTGGGAGTATACAACTCTTGCAGCCATTAGGCACACCGAGTTATTGTGGCCCTCTCATCCTAACGAGGTACCCATTCACAGCTTGGTGGACAAGTCCAAGTTTACTGCACGTTGCTATACCCGCAACTAGGTGTTTGCACGTATTCATGTGGCCACCATCTGGTCATACACCAACGGATTCGTGGGTTCTTTTAAGTGCACAGGGTTGTGTACTGTACACTAGGGGTTGTGCCAACACTGAAGGAGTCTGCACACAATGTTGACTCCAAGGTTTCTTCACCCGGTCACAGGTGGGCTCGATCCCGACATCTAAACCTCGCTGGATCACTAGCCTGGCGCCTTAGCCAGCTCGCCCACCTCGCCCCTGACAGAGTAATGAAGGTAATAAACACGGAAATCAGCCACGTTTGCTACCTGGCCCTTCAGTATTCCAGCTGTGCTGTAGCTAGCTATGACCTGCGCTGTCATGACCAAGCATGATATTGTGTTGCACCTTCTAATTACGTCCCACCTATACTAGGAACTGCTGACGTTGCTGCTTTGACCATACGCGCCTTGACATTGTTTTATGTGTCCTGCAAATTAAAGTCCATCCAAGCTATCTGATGTCTTTAACTCAGTAGTTATGTCATCATGATATGTTAAGTGTCCACATTACCACCACTGTCGCTACTGAAGCTACTCACGGACACACGAGTGGTTCACACGGTACACGTCAAGTCTCCGGAGACCAGTCTCCCCTTCCACGATGTACTTCGAGTTGGTTCCATTTTCAAACAGTTGGTATCCGTCCTTGCAGGTGCAGGTGTAGGATCCCGCGGAGTTGTTGCAGCTGTGCTGGCAGCCGCCGCTACCGTCACTGCACTCGTTGATATCTGTGACGTAAGCCTAAGTAGTCACCAACCCATAGTACATCGAACCACTGCTCGCCGAGGTTAGCCCAATGTTAACTTGAAATACACTGCATCACTTCACCAACCAACAGTACCTGTAACCACTGCTGGCCGAGGTTAGCCCATTGTTAACTTGAAGTACAATGTAGCTTTCATCATCTCAACAGTTCAGAAGATTGTGATGATGCTTGCAGCGATTTTCAGTTAACTTTTAAATTGAATGCATTTTGTTTTCAGAGTATGAATCCTTTATTCAGTGGTAGGTACTAATCCCCACCCTTTTTGTCCGAATACCCTGCACGGTTGGTCGACAGTACCCGGGTTACCGGAGCCCTTAATGGGCCCCCAAGAGGGACCAGGGGAGACCTTGGGTCTTTGATAAGTGCCATGGGGGCTTGACTGATTGAGGAAATTGAAACTTGCATTTCCGAATTATGCCCCCAAAATCAATACAAAACATGTTTTTAACATGTCACTTTCGACTGCAGTACTCTTTCGCTACACTGCAATGGAGTGTATGAGCAATGGAGAAATACCATCATGCACAGAGGAAGATCTCACTGAAATACTGCACATATTTTACTGAGTTGATATTGAACATAACTAAATACATGTAGTACACTCGAACCTTCACACTGCACGGCAGTCCCTGGTCTGTAGCCCTGTCTGCACACACACTTGTGGGAGCCGACATTGTTCATACAGGTCTGTGTAGACAGGCAAGGGGACTTGGTGACACACTCGTCTTCATCTGCACAAAATATATCACATGAAGGTTTCAACGAAGACCAAATATTGCTGGGAAACTTCTGACACATGCGATGAATATCAATCAGAGTTAAACAAGTTTAACGTTAGAGGAGAAGTGTATACCCCAGCCTGCCTATAACTCTAGTTCTTCTCACCTCAATGAAGTTATTACACAGATTACACAAACAAGTTCTGACATCCCACAGGTGAATATCTCCAGCTAATGTTTCTGGCCCTTCAATGTAGCTTAGTTACCGGAATTCACTATACATACCCACGCAGGAGACTTCCTCAAATCTGCCGTCTGCTTTACACGTGAGGACGGCTTCTGTTTTGTTTGTAGTGGAGGCCCAATAGCCATTCCGACACGTCAGAGTTACCGTGTCCTCGAAATCAGCTGGCTTCTCCACGTTCAGGGAGCCCATTGAAATTTCAGGGAGTGGACATTTGATCCCTGGGAAACAGATATAAAATATACATGTAGTTACATCAATAAGCGGATTGGTAGAACACATGTAAATCTGTAATAAATGAATATTGTATTTTTTCCCTTGAAACAGCCTGTTTTAGTGGTATTTACTTATACATTTTCTATATGACTGTGTTTGGTTTGGTGTGCTCCAGTTGGTGTCGCATCATTTCTTCAAGTTGCCTGACACGTGACAATGTGTGTTGTTTCATATGTGTAAAAGCTAATAATTCGGCTACTTACTGATATATGAAATAAATAAATAGGTCTCACAAGAGGCTGCTGTGCATTTCTAGTGATATCTTGTGGCAGCAAATGATTGAAGAGCTCGTAAACTGTCGAGAGTTGCCAGCCGCATCAAGTAAACCTTAGAGTTACCGCCCTTGTATTCATGAACATGGTAGCTTTGTTCGTTTGGGATGTTTCGGGATGGAGTAGTTTCAAGACAAAGGACTATTCCAATACAACAGCAAGAAGAGGTCGATTTGAAGGATCTTGTCAGCTTGCCGATTTCCAAAAGAACCGCACTTCCAACATCATAATCAATATAGAGACCTGTTTCAAGACATCACACCGTGGCATTTTGATTCGGAAACCTCAGTCAGTCCGTTTGGAAATATACTCATGCCAATACTGGTTGTCACCCCCACCCCATCCCCACCCTAACCCCTTTACACCTATTACCCCACCCCCCTCTCCAATTAAAAAAATTGAAGGGGGTGACAGCCAATATTGACATGAGTATAGTACAGCAATGTTTTATTGATCAAATGTAGTAACTTACTGTTTTCATCATTTAGTTTCGTGCAAATCGATTTGATCATGGGTTATTTATTTCCGTAATGTAATTACAAACGTAGGATGTAATGGCGAAGATCCAGACGGATTTGTGGATAATACTTTGGACGGAGAAGAAGAAAATAGCATCCTGTTATAATGACGTAATGTTCGCGCAGTATCTGTTGATGCCGATAAAGGTTAAACTAAACGAACATGTACATGCTGTCATCACAGTCAATGTCGCCTGGGACGTCATAGGTATGGTCTGTGTTTACTCTCACAACTGGGGCAGTGTTGATATGGTCTCTGTTTACTCTCACGACTGGGGCAGTGTTGATATGGTCTCTGTTTACTCTCACAACTGGGGCAGTGTTGATATGGTCTGTATTTACTCTCACAGCTGGGACAGTGTTGATATGGTCTGTATTTACTCTCACAACTGGGGCAGTGTCGATATGGTCTGTATTTACTTTCACGTCAGGGGCAGTGTTGATATGGTCTCTGTTTACTCTCACGACTGGGGCAGTGTTGATATGGTCTCTGTTTACTCTCACGACTGGGGCAGTGTTGATATGGTCTGTATTTACTCTCACAGCTGGGGCAGTGTTGATATGGTCTACACTGACTCTCTCAAAGCGACGGTTTTCATATATGTTGTAAGGTGGACGAACTGTCTAAGACACCGCACTAGTAAGAGAAAGGGGCCTGGATTAATCCCCACTTCTGACCGGGTGTAGAAACCTTGGAGTTAACATTACTTGCAGGCTCTTTCAGGATTGTCGCAACATTGGTGGTGTCCTTGGTGTGGTACCCCCTTACTGTCACATGTGGGGAGGTATTTAAATAGTATGTAAGTACTGTTACAGGTGGGGGGGTACTCTCACAACTGGGGCATTGTTGATATGGTCTGTATTTACTCTCACAATTTGGGCAGTGTTGATATGATCTGTATTTACTACCACAACTGGGGCAGTGTTTATATGGTCTGTATTTACTCTCACACCTGGGACAGTGTTGATATGGCCTGTATTTACTTTCACAACTGGGGCAGTGTCGATATGGTGTGTATTTACTCTCACAACTGGGGCAGTGTCGATATGGTCTGTATTTACTTTCACGACTGGGGCAGTGTTGATATGGTCTGTATTTACTCTCACAACTGGGGCAGTGTTGATATGGTCTGTATTTACTCTCACGACTGAGACAGTGTCGATATGGTCTGTATTTACTCTCACAACTGGGACAGTGTTGATATGGTCTGTATTTACTCTCACAACTGGGAGAGTGTCGATATGGTCTGTATTTACTCTCACAACTGGGGCAGTGTTGATATGGTCTGTGTTTACTCTCACAACTGGGGCAGTGTTGATATGGTCTGTATTTACTCTCACAACTGGGACAGTGTTGATATGGTCTGTATTTACTCCCAAAACTGGGACAGTGTCGATATGGTCTGTATTTACTCTCACAGCATGGGCAGTGTTGATATGGTCTGTATTTACTCTCACAACTGGAATAGTGTCGATATGGTCTGTATTTACTCTCACAACTGGGGCAGTGTCGATATGGTCTGTATTTACTCTCACAACTGGGGCAGTGTTGATATGGTCTGTATTTACTCCCAAAACTGGGAGAGTGTCGATATGGTCTGTATTTACTCTCACAACTGGGGCAGTGTTGATATGATCTGTATTTACTCTCACAACTGGGGCAGTGTTGATATGGTCTGTATTTACTCTCACGTCTGAGACAGTGTTGATATGGTCTGTATTTACTCTCACAATTTGGGCAGTGTTGATATGATCTGTATTTACTACCACAACTGGGGCAGTGTTTATATGGTCTGTATTTACTCTCACACCTGGGACAGTGTTGATATGGCCTGTATTTACTTTCACAACTGGGGCAGTGTCGATATGGTGTGTATTTACTCTCACAACTGGGGCAGTGTCGATATGGTCTGTATTTACTTTCACGACTGGGGCAGTGTTGATATGGTCTGTATTTACTCTCACAACTGGGGCAGTGTTGATATGGTCTGTATTTACTCTCACGACTGAGACAGTGTCGATATGGTCTGTATTTACTCTCACAACTGGGACAGTGTTGATATGGTCTGTATTTACTCTCACAACTGGGAGAGTGTCGATATGGTCTGTATTTACTCTCACAACTGGGGCAGTGTTGATATGGTCTGTGCTTACTCTCACAACTGGGGCAGTGTTGATATGGTCTGTATTTACTCTCACAACTGGGACAGTGTTGATATGGTCTGTATTTACTCTCACAACTGGGACAGTGTCGATATGGTCTGTATTTACTCTCACAGCATGGGCAGTGTTGATATGGTCTGTATTTACTCTCACAACTGGAATAGTGTCGATATGGTCTGTATTTACTCTCACAACTGGGGCAGTGTCGATATGGTCTGTATTTACTCTCACAACTGGGGCAGTGTTGATATGGTCTGTATTTACTCCCAAAACTGGGAGAGTGTCGATATGGTCTGTATTTACTCTCACAACTGGGGCAGTGTTGATATGATCTGTATTTACTCTCACAACTGGGGCAGTGTTGATATGGTCTGTATTTACTCTCACGTCTGAGACAGTGTTGATATGGTCTGTATTTACTCTCACAACTTGGACAGTGTTGATATGGTCTGTATTTACCTCACGACTCGGGCAGTGTTGATATGGTCTGTATTTACTCACACAGCTGGGGCAATGTTTATGTGGTCTGTATTTGCTCTCACATCTGGGGCAGTATCGATATGGTCTGTGTTTACTCTCACAACTGGGGCAGTGTTGATATGGTCTGTATTTACTCTCACAATTGGGGCAGTGTTGATATGGTCTGTATTTACTCTCACAACTGGGGCAGTGTTTATATGGTATGTATTTACTCTCACACCTGGGGCATGGGTTGATATGGCCTGTATTTACTCTCACGACTGAGACAGTGTCGATATGGTCTGAATTTACTCTCACAACTGGGGCAGTGTTTATATGGTATGTATTTACTCACACCTGGGGCAGTGTTGATATGGTGTGTATTTACTCTCAACTGGGGCAGTGTCGATATGGTCTGTATTTACTTTCACGACTGGGGCAGTGTTGATATGGTCTGTGTTTACTCTCACAACTGGGGCAGTGTTGATATGGTCTGTATTTACTCTCACGACTGAGACAGTGTCGATGTGGTCTGTATTTACTCTCACAACTGGGACAGTGTTGATATGGTCTGTATTTACTTTCACAACTGGGAGAGTGTCGATATGGTCTGTATTTACTCTCACAACTGGGGCAGTGTTGATATGATCTGTATTTACTCTCACAACTGGGGCAGTGTTGATATGGTCTGTATTTACTCTCACGTCTGAGACAGTGTTGATATGGTCTGTATTTACTCTCACAACTTGGACAGTGTTGATATGGTCTGTATTTACTCTCACGACTCGGGCAGTGTTGATATGGTCTGTATTTACTCACACAGCTGGGGCAATGTTTATGTGGTCTGTATTTGCTCTCACATCTGGGGCAGTATCGATATGGTCTGTGTTTACTCTCACAACTGGGGCAGTGTTGATATGGTCTGTATTTACTCTCACAATTGGGGCAGTGTTGATATGGTCTGTATTTACTCTCACAACTGGGGCAGTGTTTATATGGTATGTATTTACTCTCACACCTGGGGCATGGTTGATATGGCCTGTATTTACTCTCACGACTGAGACAGTGTCGATATGGTCTGAATTTACTCTCACAACTGGGGCAGTGTTTATATGGTATGTATTTACTCTCACACCTGGGGCAGTGTTGATATGGTGTGTATTTACTCTCACAACTGGGGCAGTGTCGATATGGTCTGTATTTACTTTCACGACTGGGGCAGTGTTGATATGGTCTGTGTTTACTCTCACAACTGGGGCAGTGTTGATATGGTCTGTATTTACTCTCACGACTGAGACAGTGTCGATGTGGTCTGTATTTACTCTCACAACTGGGACAGTGTTGATATGGTCTGTATTTACTTTCACAACTGGGAGAGTGTCGATATGGTCTGTATTTACTCTCACAACTGGGGCAGTGTTGATATGGTCTGTGTTTACTCTCACAACTGGGGCAGTGTTGATATGGTCTGTATTTACTCTCACAACTGGGACAGTGTTGATATGGTCTGTATTTACTCTCACAACTGGGACAGTGTCGATATGGTCTGTATTTACTCTCACAGCATGGGCAGTGTTGATATGGTCTGTATTTACTCTCACAACTGGAATAGTGTCGATATGGTCTGTATTTACTCTCACAACTTGGGCAGTGTCGATATGGTCTGTATTTACTCTCACAACTGGGGCAGTGTTGATATGGTCTGTATTTACTCCCAAAACTGGGAGAGTGTCGATATGGTCTGTATTTACTCTCACAACTGGGGCAGTGTTGATATGATCTGTATTTACTCTCACAACTGGGGCAGTGTTGATATGGTCTGTATTTACTCTCACGTCTGAGACAGTGTTGATATGGTCTGTATTTACTCTCACAACTTGGACAGTGTTGATATGGTCTGTATTTACTCTCACGACTCGGGCAGTGTTGATATGGTCTGTATTTACTCACACAGCTGGGGCAATGTTTATGTGGTCTGTATTTGCTCTCACATCTGGGGCAGTATCGATATGGTCTGTGTTTACTCTCACAACTGGGGCAGTGTTGATATGGTCTGTATTTACTCTCACAATTGGGGCAGTGTTGATATGGTCTGTATTTACTCTCACAACTGGGGCAGTGTTTATATGGTATGTATTTACTCTCACACCTGGGGCATGGTTGATATGGCCTGTATTTACTCTCACGACTGAGACAGTGTCGATATGGTCTGAATTTACTCTCACAACTGGGGCAGTGTTTATATGGTATGTATTTACTCTCACACCTGGGGCAGTGTTGATATGGCCTGTATTTACTCTCACAACTGGGGCAGTGTTGATATGGTCTGAATTTACTCTCACAACTGGGGCAGTGTTGATATGGTCTGTATTTACTCTCACAACTGGGGCAGTGTTGATATGGTCTGAATTTACTCTCACAACTGGGGCAGTGTTGATATGGTCTCTCTGTTTACTCTCTGTTTTCATATATGTTGTAAGGTGGACGAACTGTCTAAGGCACCGCACTAGTAAGAGAAAGGGGCCTGGATTAATCCCCACTTCTGACCGGGTGTAGAAACCTTGGAGTTAACATTACTTGCAGGCTCTTTCAGGATTGTCGCAACATTGGTGGTGTCCTTGGTGTGGTACCCCCTTACTGTCACATGTGGGGAGGTATTTAAATAGTATGTAAGTACTGTTACAGGTGGGGAGGTATTTAAATACTATGTACGTACTATCACAAGTGGGGAGGTATTTAAATACTATGTGCGTATTGTGACAAGTGGGGAGCTCGAGGTATTTAAATACCCTGTATGAACAGTGACAGTTGGGGAGCTATTTAAATACTCTGTACGACCTGTTTCAATTTAGGGGTTGTTTGGTATATAAATAATCTGTACGTACTGTTACAGGTGGGGAGGTATTTAGATCCTATGTGCGTATTGTAAACAGTGGGCAGGCATTTAAATACTATGTACGAACTGTGACAAGTTGGGAGGTGTTTAAATACTAAGTACTTAATGTCACGAGTGGAAAGGTATTTAAATACTCCTTACGTACTGTCACAGGTGGGGAGGTATATAAACACTATGCATGTACTGTCACGAGTGGGGGGGGGAGGTTTATTTAAATACTATGTACGTACTGTCACAGGTGGGGAGGTATATAAACACTATGCATGTACTGTCACGAGTTGGGGGTATTTAAATACTATGTACGTACTGTCACAGGTGGGGAGGTATATAAACACTATGCATGTACTGTCACGAGTGGGGGGGAGTTTTATTTAAATACTATGTACGTACTGTCACAAGTGGGGAGGTATATAAACACTATGCATGTACTGTCACGAGTGGGGAGGCTTATAAATACTATGTATGTACTGTAACAATGTTAAATACTCTATACAAGCTGTTTCCATTGGGCGGAAGGGGGTCTATAAAAGCTCTGTGAGTACTGTGGGGAGGTATTTAAATACTCTGTACATACTGTGACAAGTGGGGAGGTATTTAAATACTCTGTACGTACTGTGAGATGTGGTGAGGTATTCAAATACTCTGTACGTACTGTCACGTGTTGGGAGATATTAAGACACACAGTACGTACTGTCACAAGTACGGAGGTATTTGAATACTCTGTACGAACTGTAACACGTGGGGACGTATTAAGATACTCAGTACGTACTGTGACAAGTGGGGAGTTATTTAAATAGTATGTAGGTTCTGTCAAATGTAGGGAGGTATTTAAATACTGTGTACGAACTGTGACAATTGGGGTGCATTTAAATACTCTGTACGTACTGTCACAGGTGTGGAGATATTTTAAATACTATGTACGTACAGTTACAAAGGTGGGAGGTATTTAAATACTCTGTATGTAATGTGACTTTTGCGAGGTATTTAAATACTATGTACGTTCTCTCACAAATGGGGAAGTATTTAAATAATCTGTACGTACTGTCACAAGTGGGGAAGTATTTAAATACTCTGCACATGCTGTCACAATTTGGGAGGTATTTAAAACTGTGTACGTTCTGTGGCAAGTGGGGGGTATTTAAAAACTTTGTACGTACTCTGACAAGTGGGGAGGTATGTAAATACTCTGTATGTACTGTCCCTAGTGGGGAGGTATTTAAATACACTGTACCTACTTTGACAAGTTGGGAGGTATATAAATACTATGTACGAACTGTGACATTTGGGGAGGTATTTAAATACTATGTACGAACTGTAACAAGTGGGGAGGTGTTTAAATACTCTGTACGAACTGTGACAATTGGGGAGGTATTTAAATACTATACTAGCCAAAGAAAGAAACTGTGCATTGTCAAAATATTATCCCAGTTGAAAAGTAAGATAACAATGTCAAAGGTACATATACACTTTAATGGAGGGATCATGAGACCATAACAAGTCGGGAGAATTTCAATTGAAAAGTCAATCACAATGAGGTCACGAGTCCACATGCGGAACAGGGGTCAAACGACCATGTCACAAGCTCAAAAACGGGGAGGTCTACCATCGGCATTGAGAACATCAGTGCATCGACGACGCATAGAGCCTATCAAACCTGCAAGGAAGGCTTGTGGGATGTCACGCCAGATTCTCTCAAATTTTGTTGCAAGGTCAAGGACGTTATCTGGCGGATGAGGAAGACGACGTAGACATCGATCCATCTCGTCCCAAACACGCTCTATCGGCGAGAGCTCCGGTGAATTTGCAGGCCAAGGCAGTAAGTCAACGTTGTGGTGTTGCAAGAAATCCATAGCAACCTTTGCCGTATGAGGGTGGGCATTGTCCTGTTGGAATGTTAACCCAGGGCCATAACGTTGCAGAAAAGGAATTGCCACAGGTCGAAGAATCTGATCCCTGTAGCCCACACCAGTTAAGCTGCCCTGAACAATCACCAAAGGAGTTCTTTGGCGTGCTGATATTGCACCCAAAATCATCACGGAACCACAACCAAAGGGATTACACTCCAAGACACAGGCCTGTGCATAACGTTCTCCAACGCGTCTATAGGCACGTTGACGGCTATCACTATGGGAAATGTTAAACCTGGACTCATCTGTAAAAAGAACTTTTCTCCACCAAAACAAGCGTCAGCGGACATTATTTCGGCACCACATTCGGCGAGCTTGTCGATGACGTTGTGTCAGGATAGGCCGTATGGCGGGACGTCGTGGTCTGATCCCGTGATGACATAAACGTTGTCGAACTGTGATGGGGTGGATACGGCTAAGTCCTGGGATGGTTCGGGCAGTCATCACTGCAGTCTGAAACCTGTGGCGAAGATGGATCACCCTTATCCATATGTCCTGTCTTGGCGTTGTTACACGTGGACGTCCAGAACGTGACCGATCGATGACGTCATTTGTGTTCTGGTAGCGTCTCACCAGTGCAGAAATGGTGTTCCGGTGGCAGTGGAAATGTGTAGCCACTTGTCGTTGAGACATTCCCCCACGGACCATCCCAATAGCCTCATGACGTTGTGCAGACGTGAGCCTTGGCATGCCTTGCGTTTCAATAGCCGTTTAATTTTTTGAACGATCGCAAGGGCAGGGGTTGAGCTTTCCAAAGTGACAGCATTGTGTGGCATTCATTTGCTCTGTTTCTCTTTCCCGGAATTCACGTGCAACAACGTATTGCACGTCTCAAGGACGAACCCACTGACATCACGGAACGTGGCACGTGCATGCATGTTGGATACATGTCACTAATCTCTGAGTTTAAATCCTTATGTGTCTACACAGGTTTGATAAATTTAGATGTTACATTTTTGTATGCACAGTTTCTTTATGTGCCTAGTATATGTACGAACTGTGACATTTGGGGAGGTATTTAAATACTATGTACGAACTGTAACAAATAGGGAGGTGTTTAAATACTCTGTACGGACTGTCCCAAGTGGAAAGGTATTTATAATCTGTACGTACTTTCACAAGAGGGGTGGTATCAAAACGCTCTGTGCTTACTTTCACAAGTGGGGCCGGTATTGCTCCACACGTTGGTAGCGTTGCAGAGTCTGCGCGAGGATCCTTTAATCTCATAGCCGGCCCTGCACCTGTATTCCACGATTGCCCCGTAGGACGTCGCATCTGTCTTCGTGATGATGTTGGAATCAGCATTCGTCACATCAGGAGCAGCACCACACGTGACAGCTAAGGGGAGGCCAAATCATTTGCGGTGTGATATGTTGTGTCAATAGGTTAACATGTATTAACTAGCCTTGAACATACAGTGTCAGTTTATTATTATGAATTCATAATTTATGTCCATATTGTTAACATTACACATTTGTGCTATTCTACAATATTCTACGTCTTCCTGAAGATATGGCAGTAGATGCAATCAAAAGTGACATCGAAAGTCAACAAACATTTGTGTTTGTGCGAACTCTTCCCTTTCTACAAATAAAAACAGTTCAAACCTCAATCTTAAACAACCCTTTATTGGGAAAAACAGGCTATACGACCACGATTCATGTTTTCCTAAAACTAGACTTCGGGTGTATATTTAAAAAAGAATAGGTTCAAATACTCCATTGATACTTACATGTCATTTCTAACATTACGACGTTTCTTTTGCCTTTCAGTATATAATGCAATATGTGCCAATCACTCCAGTATGTGTTATTTGTTGATTATTATTTATCATTTCTATAGATACATACATTCACATGAGGGAAGCGTCTGCCATTTGCCGGATGTACTACACGTCACTTCCGGTGTCCCTTGCATCGTGAAGCCATTGTAGCATTCATAGACAGCTGTACTGTTATACATAACACTTCCACTGTAGTTCTTCACGAAACCAAACGCAATGGCCTCCGGGGCTCCACAGTACACCACTGCAATGGGACCAATCGGCATTGAGACAGATATCATACCAATGTTTTACATTTCAAACTATGTCTGTTTTACGACTGGCACTCCTCAGTTTCTATAAGTGTGATCTTAAATTATCAAGGTGAGAAGACGGTTTGTACAAACATGGATCTAGTATTAAAGATGGTCTACGAAAATGTGAAAGCGAGTGTACGAACATTCCGCAATGTAAATTTAGATAATTTTGTTTGTCCAACTAGCGTTGGCAAGGTTGTGTTCTGAGCCCTTTTCTTTTTTCACTTTTTCTGAATGAATTCATTTGTGAAATCACAACCTCTTGTACAAATGGTATCCAGTTATTCTGATTCACTTGAATTTTACTTTTGTTTCAGGACGATGTTGTTCTTTTTATCTTATTCAGTAATTGACCTTCAAAAACAAACTGATTTTTAGAACGCTATTGTGACTCTTTGTCACTTTCGGTTAACATGAAAAAAAATCAAAGGTGATGTTTATAGAAATGGCCGGAATCTCTCAAAAACAGAAATATTTCTCTATAAATGTTCTCCGATAAAAATTAATAAATCACACAATTATGTAGGTCTGTCATTCACAAGATGACTTTCTTGTTAAGCACATGTAGAAGATTCAGCTTTTACGGCCTAGAAAGTACCAATGTCAGTACAAAGATGTCTTTTAAGCTTTCAATCTGTGTCTTATGATATGTAGGTAAAATATTACCTATATTGATGTATGGGTGTGAAATATGTGGTCTTCGTAAATATAACTGTATTTAAGAAAAGCTTTGTATCAAAACGTTTTGTTGATGTAAGAAGACCAACTAATATTCCTTTTGTGGAATTATTTCCAAAACATGGTTATACAGTTACACGTCCTATTTCTTATTGGTTAAAAGCTTTACACATGCTACCCATTGAAAACATATGTGTTATATAACACAAATGCTGCTGAGACTAGAAACAATCTCATTGGGCTACCCTTGTCAAACATCACTCCATTTGAAGGAGGACTTTGCCAAGCATGGATTGAAACAAAGCAAAGGAAACAAAGCCATATTCGTGTCACTTGTACCTCAGGCATTTAAAGATTGAACTGGTCAGCCAACTTAAAACAAAATATACGTTCGTACACATATTCGTTTTTCAAAGAACAATTTATTTGTGAAAAGTACCTCTATTGTGTAAACATTAAGTCAGTGAGAACAACATTAGCCCAGTTTCCTTGGTATTGTGATTTTATGTTTCACAAAGGAAATTTTCCTGCAGTAGATACTGTAGTCATGATGCTGCTGAAGATGCATATCATTTCCTTTTGGTATGTGATACAACGCTACATACCACCTGAATGTAGTAATTGTCCATCCAAGCAAACCTTTATAATTCTTGTAACACATGTTATATCGTCTTTCTCAGAAATATCCTTATGTCAGCGCCAAACAGGAATCTACTATGTAACCTTGTTTTGTTCGTTCACCATACTTTGTTAAAAGACAGCTCACCACTCTTACACTGGGAGGAGTATTTGTTTAAGATCATTTTACAGAGGCAGGCGAATGTGTTATAGGACGTCTAGCACTGAGAGGGGTATGTGTCATGGGGCTTCTTACTTTGGTAGCAGTATGTGTTGTAGGACGTCTAACACTGAGAGGGGTATGTGTCATGGGGCTTCTTACTTTGGTAACAGTATGTGTTGTAGGACGTCTAACTCTGAGAGGGGTATGTGTCATGGGGCTTCTTACTTTGGTAACAGTATGTGTTATAGGACGTCTAACACTGAGAGGGGTATGTGTCATGTGGCTTCTTACTTTGGTAGTAGTATGTGTTGTAATGCTTTTTACAATGTCAAGTTTAGGAGATATGTAAGAACATGCCTTAGTGAGGTATCAGATATATGAATCAGTTGACAGCTGCAGCGCGTCGACGTACCGAGACGTGATGTTATTGTGTTTATGATAACCAACCAGCATTTATTTGAGGACCAGCAGATGCTTGGAATACTGCCTAGATTGGCCCTTGGACTCAACCTAACAATGTAACATCTTCTCATAGTGTCCCTTTCCCTTTACTAACCTTTACCGTATTACTTCCCCTGAAAGTGTTTCATATCCAGACGGTGTAACTTCCCCTGAAAGTGTTTCATATCCAGACAGTGTTATTTCCCCTGAAAGTGTTTCATATCCAGACAGTGTTACTTCCCCTGAAAGTGTTTCATATCCTCACAGTTTTTACTTCACCTGAAAGTGTTTCATATCAACAAGTGTTACTTCCCCTGAAATTATTTCATATCCAGACAGTATTACTTCCCCTGAAAGTGTTTCATATCCTCACAGTGCTACTTGCTATCACAGTGTTACTTACCCTGACAGTGTTACGTGATATCACAGTGTTACTTGTTATAATAGTATTGTTTACCATGACAGTGTTACTTGTTATCACAGTGTTACTTGCCTTGACAGTGTTACTTGTTATCACAGTGTTTTTCACCATGACAGTGTTACTTGTTATCACAGTGTTATTTACCATGACAGTGTTTCTTGCTATCACAGTCTTACTTACCATGTCAGTGTTACTTGTTATCACAGTGTTACTTGTTATCACAGTGTTTTCACCATGACAGTGATACTTGCTATCACAGTGTTACGTACCCTGACAGTGTTATTTATACTAACAGTATTACTTGCCCTAACAGTGTTACTTACCCTCTGAGTGTTATTTACCTTGACAGTGTTATTTACCCTGACAGCACGTGTTACTTGCCCTCACTGTGTAACTTACCCTGACAGGTAGGATATCTCGGTTTATCCCACTTCCCTCCCTTCTCACAAAGGAAAGACACAGTAGCTTGTTGATAATATTCCTCCTGCTTGAACGAGTATCCAGTGTTGCAGTTGACAGTCACAGAGCTCAGATAGGCTGTAGCGGCAGATGACTGCGCCATGTTGGCCGAGGAGGGAATAGTAGGGCAGTCTGATGAAAGAGTAGCATATTTAACAATAATACAGACACAGAGCTCAGATAGGCTGTAGCGGCAGATGATTGCACCATATGTTCAGAGTCAGGAACAGCCGGACAATCTGGACAAATACAAATTATTTGTCAGTGATGTTCACTGAAATATATAAATCTTGGTATGTGAATGGAACACACATATTATGTTGAGCAAAATTGTAAACTTTAATGTAAAACGTAAAGTCGCAACAGTTAGGTTTGTCAGGGGTGAGTCTCGGGCATCTCCTGGAAATACAAGGGGCAGAAAACTGTTGTTTATCACACTAGGGGCTATATCGGAAGAAACTGGAACCATTTTAGGAGCGAACTTACACAGGCGACTGTGCTTATTGTGCACAAGGAAAAAAGACATTTAATTTACATGTTATATAATAGATACGTATGCAGTAATCCCTCCTTGTAAACACTGATATCTGATCATTTCACTGTAGAATCGATGATGCATATGTTGCTTGTGATACAAAAGACAAAGGGCGTAACAAACTGCAACCCTTGACAAAGAGGTTCCAGTTACATCTGTAAATGATAAATGCGATGGTGAAGAAGCAAACTAGATAAACAGACGTTAATTGGACTGAAGAAAGAGAAACCTCCAAATGCATTACCACAAGGAAACTTGTTCCTCATATTCTGACCGGAGGTCATCACCAAGGAATAGCCAATCAAGGACCTCGATCTCACTCGTGTTTCACCAACTTTCTCAAACGGATTTCTCACCGATAGGTGTGTGGGATACCTAATGTTGATCAGTGACGCTCACCTATTGAGAACTCAAACTGGAAACCCCCCTCGTCCTGGATGAGGCTAGACTTGAACCTGACGAAGAGAGTGTTGCCTCCGTTGACGCTGGGAAGAGATGACGTTAGGTTCCCGGTGTAGCCGCTGCCCGAGTGGAGGGCTGCAGCCGAGGCGTCGGAACCATTGTATATCTGTCGTATAGTGACATAGCAGTTACATATCGCTCTTCGGTAAAGGTTATAGCATTATCTGATTTATTGTATGAAGGTCTTAATATTCCAACTACTATAACCTTACAGACATCGTCAGTAATACAGAGATAATAATTTTACCAGATTACGTCTTTTTGATTTGTTTGCAAGACATGATGTCTGTAATAGTGTACCTCGATTAGATCCTTGCCAACGGTCTCCAGAACGAGGTAAAGGAATTTGACCATGAGGTTCCTGTTCGCATCACTCGGCGCCTGAATCTTCCAGGAACAGGTCACAGAGGTCGGGTATATCTTCTTGTTGAATCCAGGAGAGGTCACTGTGCCACTAGCTGCTTGTATCTCAACGTTGCATCCTACAGACGAGAGATGCATATATTTTCTTTACTTCTCGTTTAGAGCATGCATGAATCAATGACTCAACGATGCATCCTGGTGATGAATTCTATCGATTACATTATGCATTCCCCAACCGTTTATGTAGCAATAACCCACACTGATCATTGATATGTATAGTGCTAGATATCACATTAACCTCAGCTTACCATTCTTAACCCTGAGCTTAATGCCACGTCCCCCTCCAGACGTGTCTTTCCCTTTCAGGATAATCCGAATTTCACTGGCGGTGGAGAAATAGATGGCGGGTGAAGAGAGATCCGTCCGTCTGGAGGCCATCAGCAGTGAGTCGTCATACCCTTCCCCATTGTAGACCATCAGCATCCAGTCAGGGCCAAGGTCAACGTCCTCCACCTCAACAAAGCATATGCATAGTGCACAAGAGAACAAATATCATAATATTTATCAAGATTTCACCAATATTATGCTTTAAAAAATCGAAATCGGTTCACTTTTTCTGACATAACTTTTTTTAAACATTAAATATTGTCTATTTGTATGAAACCTGGACAAACTGAAACTGACTTTGTAATAATTACTGAACATCATTGAAAACGCACCACTACATAAAAGTTCAGATTATTAAAATCACGTGTAAGGAATTGATATTTTTGAGTGGATAATAACAGATGGACGACTGACAAAAACAACTACACAGAAAAGACGCTCATTCATTGAAATGTTTCACAGTCAGAAAGGATCAAACACACGTGGGGTCAAAACGAAAAGTCAATATCGCGTGTGACCGCCATTTGCATTGACACATGCAGTTCAACGTCTCCTCTTTGAGTCAATAAGCGTCCAAATAGAGTTCTTGAGGATGGCATTCCACTTCTGCAGTAGTGCAGCCTCAAGTTCCCTGTTGTTTCGCATCTGTTGTCGCCGCGAAAGACTTTGACCAATTTCGTCCCACAAGTGCTCCATGGGGGATACATCTGGCGACTGTGCTGGCCAATGAATAACCTGTATGTGTTGCTGGGCCAGATACTGCATGGAAAGTCTTGTTGTGTGTGCCTGTGCGTTGTCCTGTTGAAAAGTATGGACTTCTTGGTGGTGATTAAAGACAGATACGATGTGATTCTGAAGAATCTGCTCACGGTAATAAAGGGCATTAACTCTCCCTTAACAGACATGAAGGCAGTCCTGTGATTGTAATTTATTCCACCCCAGACCATGACACTCCCACCACCCAAAGGTCTGTCTGAACCACACACTCATCAGCATAACGTTCACCACGTCTACGCCAAACACGTAATCGGCCGTCAGCATTACGTAGATGAAGACGTGACTCGTCAGTGACTACCACACCATGCCATTGTTGTAACCTTTACTGAAAATGCCTGCTAGCCCATTGCATACGCTCATTACGGTGTCAGACCAGAATTGGTCCAACGTAAGGACGTCGAGCATGGAGCCCTGTAGCGTGTTGACGGCGTCGCATGGAGACACACACACACACACACACACACACACACACACACACACACACACACACACACACACACACACACACACACACACACACACACACACACACACACACCGTCAACCTTGAACAAGTGCAGCAGTCCTGGCAGTCGGCAGTGTTCAATCACTGATATGGACAATGTCAATATGGCGATCCTGATGGAGCGTCGTAACATGTTGTTCCCAAGGTCATTGAAGGTCACGGGTGCTGCCTGTCTACTGATGTCGTCTATGAAGCCTAACGATGGTGGACTGGCCAAGTCCACGTCGTCGAGCAATATCCCTGCTGCTGATGCCAACCTGAATCATGCCTAGTGCACGTTCTCTTTCGTGAGGTGTTAACCTCGGCATATCTGTCCTCGTTTCACAATCGTTAGAGAAGCAACGAGAATCGGTTCTCATACACCTGCTTTAATGTCACAGTCAGTAAGATTTCAGAATTAAATTCGCGCTTTTTTCATGGCGTGGCTGCATGTTGATGCATTTTGGAATTAGGAGTCATACTGTGAACAGGAATTTGTTTCTAAAGCATTTTTTCAACTGGACATTGTCATGCTGAAATCCATCTTGATGAAAATATGGACAATTTTATACTGGAGCGTCTTCAATGATGTTTAGTATATTTCCCAAACATACATGTTTCTGTCCACCAGCCTCGTAGCAATCACAGTTTGGCAGGTATTCTTGGGGAGCACTAGTTTGGGTTTAGCTTTTAACAGCACAATGCATTATTGATTTAAAGGCTGGTGAAAACAACAATGCTACTTTCTTCGACAAAGGTTTTTAGATCAGGAAATAGATATTTTATGACCGTTTAGCTATATACAACCTGGATGTACCTCCTGGCACCACGGCAAGGTTAATGGAGATGAGGTATCGTTTGAATTATTACAAGATGTATTGGAGGAACATCCATAAGTTTCTTGTTGATCTTAGAAGAAGTCATGAATATATCAAAGATACGTCTTGAAATATCTTGAAGAGTCGGTTACTTGAGCAGCTGTTTACCCCCGTTTGATGAGCAGGGAGCCTCCCGCTACTCCAAGATAAATAATTTTGTAAGACTGTACACTCGATGTGTGCACTCCCCGAAATCTGTACACTGAATGGAGGATTTGTACCATGAATGTGACACTTGTATTGTCGGAGCTTGAGACCAGGGTGCCATTGTACAAAGCGATCTTAGCGCTAAGGTGACCGTAACTCCCATACCTTAACATAGGCTTAAGGTAGTCTTAGCGCTAAGGTTGTTATGTACAACGACACCCAGGCACTCAAGTCGGCATTGTTAGCTGTGTTGTGTATGAGATCAACTTACCATGAGTGTGACAATTGTATTGTCTGAGCTGGACACCAGCCACTCAAGTCGGCATTGTTAGCTGTGTTGTGTATGAGATCAACTTACCATGAGTGTGACAATTGTATTGTCTGAGCTGGACACCAACCACTCAAGTCGGAAACCACTGGGTGGGGTACTGGGGAAGAATGGCGACGTCAAGTCTGTCCAGGAAGACCCAGCAGTCATAGGGCGGACGTCCGTCGAGAGGTTATTGTTAGCTGTGAAAAGAATCCACAAAAATATAATACAAAGAAACACTTAAAGAAGGAAAAGGCAAGCTGTCCCAACACAATCTACAAACTTACATGACGACCAGGTGAGGTCGAAGCCAAATGTTGTAACGGAGGAGTCGGATGTAAGACGTAGCAGCATCATGTTGTTGGTGCTGAAGATAACCTTGTTGCTGAGGCTGCCTGTCAGTGTCTCCAACACCCGGGTGTCCAGTATCGTCTGGCCCCAAACCCTCACCTCCAGTATATCCACCTTATCTTCCAGGCGCACTGAGCTGAACTGAAACAAGCAAAACACCAGTTAATCACGCTCTGCATCTCCTCACTCCATATTAGACAACAAAAACATGCAAATGAGCAACTTGTAGAGGACCCCTGATATACACGTTCCCCGATGCTATCGCAGCGTTCCCAGATATCCCTACCACTTCAAACAATATGCTACATGTAGAGACAATGAAATAGTCCAGAGTAGAATGATGATATTATCTAGCATATTTCATCACGAATGTATATATACGATATGCTGAGAGCGTTACGCCTCCAACTGCGGTTATCTCCCTGTGTACCGTGACTCCAAGCTGTGTTCCAGGAGGTGAGATGATGGTCCACATACAGTCGGCGTTGTTGGCGTAGCCGCTGAAGTAGTTGATTCTGCCACTGGCGCCGGTCTTTATAAATGTACAGTTTGAACCTTAAACATAGATGAAATGTCACAAATGTCATTTCCATATGAATTGCTATTTTCAGTGTGGATAATATCACAGAATAAATTGTTTCTAAACATGTAACTAACTCTGTAAAATGAAGAAATGACCTGGGAGGAACTGCTTTGTGTGCTACAAGGATATATAGTACACCTGGCACAGCTCCAGTACATTCTGCTCATTGTGCCACTACCTGCATCTTCTGACATGAAACCCTTGCCTGTTGTTCTCGTCAATTGTCCTAGTGGGTTCAAGTCGGATTCCTTGACGTCTAGCAACTCTCCTTTACTTACACGAGGGAGATCTTCACAGATGAGACTTAGAATTCCATGTTGATATTGTCTCTCATAATGAACTTACGTTGCTGCCCAATACAGACAACAATTTTTTTTTGTAACGTGTCTCTGTTCATTGATGTGCTGTAGTGGTAACAGAGACAATAAACAATAATAAATTCCACTCTGCTGTGAGAAAACGGAAAATCACGGATCCGGCATCACAGAATCATAATGGTCATAAATCAGGATCTCAACGTTACAGTCTTTACGAAGGCTAAGGCTGAGGGGCTCGTACTAATGAACATACAGATAGTGTCACTTACTGCAGTCCATCTCGTCCCTGTTGTTGCCACAGTCGTTGATGCCGTCACACTTCCACTTGTTGTTCAGGCATTGTCCACGTCCACAGTCGAACGAACCTGTTATTTACAAAACTGTTTTCATAAAGGAATATGACAGTTATGAACCTCTGTGGAAATATGGAAGATATGCTAAAGTATATGGGGTTTTGGTGACAAATGCAAAATACCTCACCTTCCAAACAGGACGGAGATTTGCAAAAGAAAGGGAGACGACTCTGGCATGACACAACCTTCCATCGACCGTTCTTCTGTACAGCAGCACAATCTCCTTCCTTCACACTTGCTGGGGGCTCGTTAACGTCCCAGTAGCCCGTGCAGGAATCTGAGGTCAGGAGAATCACATGAGAATTAAATGTCCCAGGAGCCCTTGTAGGAATCCGAGGTTGGGGGCATCACATGGGCAGGTTTACCACATGTCTCCTACATGACTCTGAAGCCAGGAGAATCACATGAGCAGGTTTACTCCACGTCACGGTAGCTAGAAAAAGTATATATGGATGACAACTTCTTTTATTCTAAAGCACGACGTTTCGATACAGGTTCTTGTATCGTTTTCAAGTGAGAATGGTACAGGGAGAGAACAGGTGATTTATACAGAGCATAGAATGTATAAACAATTAACAACGTGATGATATAACACATGTTATATTTGGGATTATACCTTATTAGTAAAGTACAAATTCTGTTACCTTTTTAGTTGAGCCCCATCCGGGATTCGAACGCACACCCTCACAGCCAGGCACCTAATCGCCAGCACACAAAGTCAGCCGCCTAACCAACTCAGCTATCGCGACTTCCACAAAAATTGAAGTCAGACAACTGGTAGTCTAGACTGCTGGCTTTGTGTACCCCTCTGATAAGTGTTAATTGGCACGGCTCCCACGGCCGAGCGGTATGATGACACAATGCCATTTAAAAAGTGGTCAAATGTATCATATGTTATATTTGGGATTACACTTTCTTAGTAGGAAAGTGTAATTAAGAAACTAAGAAAGTGTAATCCAAAATATAACATATGTTACATTTGACCACTTTTTAAATGGCATTGTGTAATCACAACGTGATGATAGTGAATACAGGATAGCAGAGGACAACGGGGATACACATAAAAGCCGTTCTATGCTCTGTGTATTATTGGCTTCCACCGGCCTCTATGGTTATCCCTATAATCCCCTGTTATCCCTTTTTTTGTTATCATCACATCGTTACTCCGCCTTGATTGTGAATTAGTCTATATATCACCTGTTCTCTCCCTGTACCATTCTCACTTGAAAACGATACGAGAACCTGTATCGAAACGACGTGCTCTAGAATAAAGAAGTTGTCATCCATATATACGTGTTCTGTCTGACTTCCAACTTCTAACAATGCCTCTCAAAGAAGTCACGATAGCTGTTACAGAACAATGGAATCCCATGTCCACATAGTTCCAGTGTCAGTATATAATGGAGTCATTATATTGGTGTTAGCCGATGCAGGGTAACCAAAACACTGTGCCAACATACCAATGAAACACCAGGCAGGATACTCTCTAATGCATTGTTTACTTCATGGTCAAGATTCAACCAATGAACATTGATGAATGATATCTACTCTTGCTGTACCTTACCATTAATCTTTTCTCCAATCCAGAACAAGTTCCATGAAGCCGCCATTTCAGCAAAAGCTTTGTTTTCAACTTCATCTTGTATCTCCAAAGGCATTCCCAATTCTCTGTTATGAAACACAAATGTGAAACTTTAACTGCTGTATCATTCAAACATGTGTATCAACACGTTCTTGTTCCTCATGCAGCACTGGATGGTCTCGGACACCGAACTGACGCAATGTGCCTGGAGTTAGATAACTAAATATTGCACTGATGAGGCTAAAATCCTGGTATAGATCACGGTGTTTGCAAGTTTTAACGCTACAGAGACATTTCACATAGGGTGATATATTCCCCTTGTCTACCTTTCACAGAGATCTTTTGCTTCCTCCCATTCCATCGCTGAGGATACTTTCAGGTAACAGTTGGTTCCATAAAACGTCCAACCTGTAAGACAGAACTATTGATGGTATAATACTTACAGGAACTAGATGGTACAATTTGGAATGACACAATGTTTGGCATACAACCATTTAACAGTGTACTCCTTCTGCTCTGAAGCTCAGAAGAAATATTGCTGCGTCTGAACAGAATTACAATGTTTCTTCAGTTATTTGGAGCAATACATGCTTGTGTTAGTTAGCCCTATACTTAAATATTGGATATAGGGAAGTAAAGGAAACAAACTATCATGCATTTAAGTATTGGATATAGGGAAGTAAAGGAAACAAACTATCATGCATTTAAGTATTGGATAAAGGGAAGTATAGGGAACAAACTATCATGTATTTAAGTATCGGATATAGGGAAGTAAAGGGAACAAACTATCATGTATTTAAGTATCGGATATAGGGAAGTAAAGGAAAGAAACTATCATGTATTTAAGTATTGGATATAGGGAAGTAACGGAAACAAACTATCATGTATTTAAGTATCGGATATAGGGAAGTAAAGGAAACAAACTATCATGTATTTAAGTATCGGATATAGGGAAGTAAAGGAAACAAACTATCATGTATTTAGGAATCGGATATAGGGAAGTATAGGGAACAAACTATCATGCATTTAAGTATTGGATATAGGGAAGTATAGGGAACAAACTATCATGTATTTAAGTATCGGATATAGGGAAGTATAGGGAACAAACTATCATATACTTAAGTATTGGATATAGGGAAGTAAAGGAAAGAAACTATCATGTATTTAAGTATCGGATATAGGGAAGTAACGGAAACAAACTATCATGTATTTAGGAATCGGATATAGGGAAGTATAGGGAACAAACTATCGTGCATTTAAGTATTGGATATAGGGAAGTATAGGGAACAAACTATCATGTATTTAAGTATCGGATATAGGGAAGTATAGGGAACAAACTATCATATACTTAAGTATTGGATATAGGGAAGTAAAGGAAAGAAACTATCATTTATTTAAGTATCGGATATAGGGAAGTAAAGGAAACAAACTATCATGTATTTAGGAATCGGATATAGGGAAGTATAGGGAACAAACTATCATGCATTTAAGTATTGGATATAGGGAAGTATAGGGAACAAACTATCATGTATTTAAGTATCGGATATAGGGAAGTAAAGGAAAGAAACTATCATGTATTTAAGTATCGGAAATAGGGAAGTATAGGGAACAAATTATCATGTATTTAAGTATCGGATATAGGGAAGTATAGGGAACAAACTATCATGTATTTAAGTATTGGATATAGGGAAGTAAAGAAAACAAACTATCATGTATTTAAGTATCGGAAATAGGGAAGTATAGGGAACAAATTATCATGTATTTAAGTATCGGATATAGGGAAGTATAGGGAACAAACTATCATGTATTTAAGTATCGGATATAGGGAAGTAAAGGAAACAAACTATCATGTATTTAGGAATCGGATATAGGGAAGTATAGGGAACAAACTATCATGCATTTAAGTATCGGAAATAGGGAAGTATAGGGAACAAACTATCATGTATTTAAGTATTGGATATAGGGAAGTATAGGGAACAAACTATCATATACTTAAGTATTGGATATAGGGAAGTAAAGGAAACAAACTATCATGTATTTAGGAATCGGATATAGGGAAGTATAGGGAACAAACTATCATATACTTAAGTATTGGATATAGGGAAGTAAAGGAAACAAACTATCATGTATTTAAGTATCGGAAATAGGGAAGTATAGGGAACAAATTATCATGTATTTAAGTATCGGATATAGGGAAGTATAGGGAACAAACTATCATGTATTTAAGTATTGGATATAGGGAAGTAAAGAAAACAAACTATCATGTATTTAAGTATCGGAAATAGGGAAGTATAGGGAACAAATTATCATGTATTTAAGTATCGGATATAGGGAAGTATAGGGAACAAACTATCATGTATTTAAGTATCGGATATAGGGAAGTATAGGAAACAAACTATCATGTACTTAAGTATCGGATCTAGGGAAGTAAAGGAAACGAACTATCATGCATTTAGGAATCGGATATAGGGAAGTATAGGGAACAAACTATCATATACTTAAGCATTGGATATAGTGAAGTAAAGGAAACAAACTATCATATACTTAAGCATTGGATATAGGGAAGTAAAGGAAACAAACTATCAGCTGTGACATATGTTATATTTGGGATTACACTTTCTTTGTAATTGCACATGTGACCACTTTCTGAATGGCATTGTGTGTTTCAAAACTATCAGCTACTTTCACTTCTGTCAGTGTCCACGCTCAGTGAACATTCAGCACAGCAACTATTGTAAATATTAGAAGTCCACGACTTGTCACCAGTGTTGCCGTTAGTACACCGTTCGAGCTGGGTATCTAATAACGGATAATCTTCTGTCGGTGTGTTGCCTTGGTACGACAACTGTGGTAGAATTCTGTTACCCGTTTACATAAGTTTGAGATTTAACATTATTTTCCTCAAATATGTCCAGATATCTCCCTGTTTGCAATTGGTATATCCCCATTTATATCCTGAGCCTGTGAAGGTCCGGGTTAGAATGAACCTTCAGTAACCCATGCTTGTCGTAAGAGGAGACTAACGGGGTCGGGTGGTCGGGCTCACTGGCTTGATCAACACATGTCATCGGTTCCCAATTGCGCAGATCGATGCTCATGCTCTTGACCACTGGGTTGTCTGGTCCAGACTCGATTATTTACAGACGGACGTCATATAGCTGGAATATTGCTGAGTGCGGCGTAAAACTAAACTCACTCACTCACTCACTTATATCCTGGTCTAACCACATGGCCAAGGAACAACGATATAACCATGGTAACAGAGCTATGCTGTATCTCACATCAATACTGAAGTTTCAAAACTTGAACCAGTGTGACAGGTCAACTGAATCACACCAACCCATTATAATAATGAAACACCGTGGTCGTTGCTGGTGTGGGTAATGTATTCTGGACACCTCACATGTAATGTTGCTGCAGTTGTACTAATGTACTTCCTGAAATGTAGTCATGACGAAGTAGTGTGACGTTTGAATAACCATAAACACGCACCTGCCTAATGGAAACATTCCCTCCCCAATATATAGATAGAAGTAGCGTTAGGAACTTGGAGGGCGAGCACAAAAAACACATGAACTTGAGTTTGAACAGAGGTCACATTTCGGAAATACATCATTTGATCTGATTGGAGCAGAGAAAGGAAAGTAGAAGGGATATTAGGCTTGTTTACACCTTGTATCTACTGGCATTTCTACAGAAAGAAAATCTTTGGGAGGATTGGGGCATTGTCCAGGCAGTTGGAGGTAACACACGCATGTATGATATTGGTGTACAAACGAAGGCAGTGTCGTGTATGGATGACCTGATTTACCAGGCAGTTGGAGGTAACACATGCATGTATGACATTGGTGTACAAGCAGAAGGCAGTGTCGTGTATGGATGACCTGGTATTCTTTTCAGATATTTCCATTTCCTGAAATCCTTCGTGCATTTATTTCAGGTGTGTCCTGTGTCCTTCATTCAAGTCCTTCTTTCACCCTCCTTTTCCTCTTTTCCGTTTCCTGGGCTCCACCCATTTTAGGGGTACTAGTCCCTGTCTCTCGTGTGTTATGTCATGGGCTGTCCACCCCTTCATTTGTGTGTCCATTCCATTCCTTCCTTCTGTCCTTTGTGTTCTCCATCCATCCGTTACTGTTTCCGTGGGGTCTTGTCGATGTGCCTGCAAATCCTTTCTTCCCATTTATGTCCGTCCTTTCCAAATATTCATTGTCATTCATTCGGTGTGTCGATTTTCTATTTTTATCTGCATTTATTGCGTCCTGTCCATTCCTTCCATATTCCTGAACCACCAGTCAGTGATTCTATTTTCCACTTCCGTGCCTTTCCACCACTGTGCTGTGTGTGTCATGGTGTGCGTTCTGGGGTCGGCTCCGTTCTCCACCATTTTCTTTCTTCGGTCTCCTGTTTCCACGCTCCGGTCATTCCGGCATGAACCAGTCTTCCTCCTTCATTATGGTCTCTTCCGTCTCCATTCCACCATCCATCCATTCCTCCATCTTTCCTGTCCATTCCTCTGTTCCTTTCCTGTGTCCTTCTGTCCTTCCGTCGTCTTCTCCGTTGTGTCGTGCCTGTGGTCGTCTGCTGTCGTGTGTCCGGTCGTCTTCTCCGTTTGTCTTGTCTGTCTGCTGTCCGTTGTCGTTGTCGTTGTCGTTGTGTGTCTTCTCGTCTTCCGTCGTTGTCGTCTGTGTGTCGTGCTTCGTCTTCGTCGTTGTTCGTCTTCGTCTTGTGCGTGGCCGTCTGTGGCCGTTTTTCGTCGTCTTCCTCGTCTGCGTTTGTTGTCCTCGTCGTTCTCGTCCGCCGTTCTCGTCTGTCGTCGGTGTCCGTCGGATCCCGCTGGATCGTTCTCCAAGATGCAAAATCATATGGACGTCGATCTGCCTGATGCGT